TCAGTCGGTTAAGCATCCAACTCTTGATTTTGGCTCAGGTCATGTGATTCTCTCTCTCCCCTTACCCTGCTTGTGCATTCTCGTTCTCAAAATAATAAATAAACAAACAAACTTAAAAAAATAAAATAGGGAGAGTATACTGGATTATCTGGGTGGGCTCAATATAATAAGGGTCCTGTTAGGCAGAAGAAAGAAGCACAAGAGAAGATCACAATGATACGGTGTGAGAAGGACTGAACCTGCCATGGCCGGCATTAAAGGTGGAGGAAGGGACCATGAGCCAAAGAATGCAGGTGGTCTCTAGGAACTAGAAAACCGAAGGAAATGGATATTCTCCTAGAACCTCCCAAAAGAAATGCAGCACTGCCAACATCTTGATTTTAGAGCCTCAGGAGACTGTGCCAGACTTCTGACCTACGAAAGTGTCACCTAACAAATTTGTACAATTTTATTTTGTAAATTTGTGATAACTTGTTACAGCAGCAATAAGAAACTAAAATGCACACGTTTTATCTGAATTCTCACAACAGTATTTTACCGGTTGGGAAACTTAGTGAGTCAATCCTGGTTATTGCCCTGGATGCCATAAGAGAGGTGGGGGACAAAGCGTAAGGAAGTAATGTTATTTTGTAAACATCTGCCTCGAGGAGAGCCTTGTAATATTTTTTAGGCAAGAAATCATAGACCACTTCTGAAGGCACAGAGAGTTCAAAAGTGATGCTGATAATGTGGGCTTCTCAGATTCTTCCATCTAGATGGCCCTATGCCATTCCTTTCAGTTTTCTGCTTTACTATCCGAGATTTGGTAAAGCTGCATGTCAAGCCTTCTCTTCAATCCGACTCACAATTAGGTCCTGGGCCTGATTTTCAGCCCAATCTGCCTTCTGCCTCCAGTAGTGGGGGGGGGGGGGGCTCTTTAAGGCCACAAGAGAGGGCTTTAGGGTTGCACATTATGCCCTGAATTAGTGGTTGGTTATGTTGAGCCCACCAAGTCAACGGCCTTTATAATTACTGTTGGTACCGTATCTTTCAAGCGCTATTGGGTGTGCAAATGCCAGTATCCCAACCCATTGGACCCCAGGTAAGATTCTTAGCATCTGTGATGTTTGGCAAGTCTGGGGATAACCCCACTCTACTTCTCTCCTCCAGGGGCCATCTTTTCCAGTTAAGACAATATCCAATTCCAGAAGCACCTGCTGTATCTTAGAATTAAAATAATTTGACTTCCAAGTCAAGACAAAATGTCATGAAATACAGAAGCCAGAACTCCTAGAGGTGGCAATTCCCTTGTGTTTTGCAAAGTAAATGATAAATGTAGTTAGGTAAAAGGTCCCCAACAGCTTCCAGTAGTGGATGAAGCTAAGGAAGATGAACCAGAACTGCTCTTATAATGTTATGTTCTACGTTTGCCTTCCTGGTAGTGACTTTCTCATTTTTTAAGGACTCCTGATTTCTACTTTGCTTTGCCATACTTTCTTTTTTCCTCATTTTTACTGTACTAGAATTTTGTCAGGGCTCATTGATAAATTAATCGATAGGATACAATATAAAGTAAATCCACGTGTAGCCTAACCACAAATTTTCAAGAGCCCAGGTACAATGACTTTTGTGCCCTTTATCCATCTTTTCCCTTATCTCCCTGTTCTTAGGAGAGCAGGACAGGCTTGGGATTGACCATTAAAAGGCCAAGATATCATGCGCAGGTTGGTTGGGTGTTGCTTCTGTCTCCCTAAACAGGTGCTCTCTGAGCCCCATCTTCTTCACATCTTATATAGGGATGATCAGAAAACCCAGTTGGTATCATTCTACTCTTCTCGTTGCTCAGGCTTCTCTAGTGACACTACATTGAGTTTCTACAACATGCCAAACTCCCTTGAAGGGATTCTGTACTTGCTTTTCTTCTAACATATCCTTCCTGCCAATATACCCTAAGTAGGTGACTTCTCATCTTAGATCTCAGCTTAATGTTATTTTACTTAAATCCTAGGGTGTCCTTCCTTGACCGTTTTATCTAAGTAGATCACCTCTTAAAATTCACCATCGCTGCACACTATTTCCTTGATAACCCATATAACATTCTAAATTTTATACACACATAAATAAAATATATCGTCTATATATTCAGCTATAATGATACCCTTTAAAATGCTAGTTCAAGGCTTTGCACAGAATGCTCTTTTTTTTTTTTTAATTTTTTTTTCGACGTTTATTTATTTTTGGGACAGAGAGAGACAGAGCATGAACGGGGGAGGGGCAGAGAGTGAGGGAGACACAGAATCAGAAACAGGCTCCAGGCTCCGAGCCATCAGCCCAGAGCCCGACGCGGGGCCCGAACCCACGGACCGCGAGATCGTGACCTGACTGAAGTCGGACGCTTAACCGACTGCGCCACCCAGGCGCCCCACTCTTAATAAACATTTGTTTATTAAACAAACAGGTCAATCTATTTCATTAACCTTGAGTGTATTGATGATGCGGTATATGCAGGAAACATTTTAACCATAAAGTATTTTTATCTGTACCAAATACTAGATGCAAATAATATTTCATAATGTTCAAAATTGTTCCTTATTAGATCAATTATCAGATGCTATGCCAAAAATAGCAGTATATCTATCAACTTTACAGATTTTAAATGCTCACATCTGTAATTCTCACAATATTTCCTGGAAGCGTGCCAGGTATTTCATCCTAAATAAACGGATTATGTGCATAATTTAAGTTAGGAAAGAATGACACATTTTGAGGGCTCTAAATGTGTAAATGATTACACATTAAGTGAGGAATTGCTTACTCTTTTGCCCACCAGCCAAACGGTGCAAATTCCTTTGATGCTGGAGTTCAGAGAGAAAGGAAATAAATATACCTCTGAAATGGCAGCCGCAGAAGTGCCCATCAGCTCTGAGTTCTGCCTTAATTGAGCATTGCATATGCAGGAGAATAAGCTACTTGCCAATGTCACATGATTTATATCCATAATCAGAAAAATATGAGGCTTAAAGTTCAGGTGCAGATTGACATTCTCTAGCCTGCACAAAGCTGATCATGACCTTTCGAAGCCATGAGCAATCACTTAATGTCCATTTCTTCTCAGCCACCTGGAACATCAAATCAAGAAGCATCTTTGGAAAGCTAAGATTTTGAATTGCAAAGTGATGCCCAAATGATCCAGCTATGAAGCTTAGAGCTGGGCAGGGAGAAATTAATCAAGCAGTGGGTTTTTAAAAGAGAAACGTGGCTTCCATCTTTTATGTATAAGAAGCAAACAAGTTGAAAACTTTTTTCTGAAAACAAAATCCTTTGTGACTATGATCCCTTGAACAGTCTCATGATAGTAAGTCCTGGAATCAACGTTGGAAATGCACAGAACAGGCATGCTGACCCCTGAGTGCATGACATTTCTAGGATCAGTCGCAAGTCCACATACATGTGACAGTGCGCTGAATTTCGCAGGCACAGTGTCTGCCTCTAGTCCTTTATTTAATGGTTTTTCCAAATGACAGCCTCCTAGATTATTTCCATAGGAATGTAAAAAGCAGGCTACAATTCAAGGACTCAATAACTGGCTGGATGCCCTTGGAGTCTCATGACCTTCATTTTAAGTAGGTCCAGATAGAAAAGAACACTACTGGCTGTCATATTTGCAGTACCTGCAATGTACTAGGATCTATTACATGTGTTATCTCACTCAGCCCTCTCTCTAACACCGTGATCGGATATTTTAAATGTTGGCTATAAGGAAACTGAAACACGTCATCAATGAGCACAAACTAATAAGTACCAGAGCAGGTACACAAACCTGTCTCAAATAGGCTCCAGGGCTCATGCTCTTTCCACTACACTATCTCTTCTTCACTTGATCTCTACTGAGTGTCAACCTATTTTTCTCATCAGTGTTATGACCAGTGTCTGCTAGGAGGGCAGACTGGGTCATTGGCCTCCAAAGAATGCTCCCAGTTTTTTCATCTCAGTTGAGCTCCCTGGAGGGTTTCCTTTCTGGCTCAGAGCAGTGTGTATTGACCTTGCCAGTCAGGGTTGCAGTGTCTTCAAGAAAAACCCAGCTGAGTTTGCTCCCATCAATGCTGTCAGGAGCACAAGTTGGTTTCCCCTGAACGCTATACCCTGGAGCGTTCTGTGGCAAGAACTCTTATCAGGGGCAGTTGTTCTCAGAAATGGTGGCTCTCAACGGTGGCTCTAAATTGCCTCCTTGCCAACCCTTGCCTTCATTCCTTACAATGGGAACCCCTGGCAGCCAATAATCCTTCTAACTACTATGGACAAACCATCAGCATAGTCCTTTACCGGTCTTCCAGTCTCATGTAGCTTTGGCTACCAATAGGTAATTATGAATAAAGCCACACAGCTCTTTGGAGAAAATGTTAACAATTCCTATGCACATTTCTACTCTGATTCATACTTTTGTCTGCCCCCTCAGCCCTGTTTTACTTTGGTTGATGCCAGGAAGTACTCACCCTTCTCCACATCAGCAAAGGAGACTATTCTCCAAGGAGACAGCAATAGGGAGCCACTTACTCTTTTCTGGAAGTACCTGGACTCAGGTTATATGAAGATGTAATGCTATAAAAATCTCAGACTCTCCCTTCTTGGGGTACAGAAGCATCTAAACAAAGCAAGACCCCAGAAGAGTCCGAGAAATATGTTAGTAATTTCAGGTAGATTAATCAAATACTATTAGAAACCAAATCTAAAGCAAGCCACATATGGGACATTTTTCTTTTTCATCTGCTTTCAATGATAATTTGGTTTTTCTTGACTTGAAAGAAAGCTTTATCTGACTGAATGGTCTCTTTGGCTATCAACCCATTTCTCTCCTGGCTTTTACTATTTATTTTATAGACTAGAGATAAACCTGCTTCAATAACCCCCTTTCCTCATTGCAGTGTGGTTCCATTCATCAAAACTCTAATATTCTTGGATTCTAATGTAGGCAATTCCAATGACCTTTCAAAATCCTCATTTTCCTTGCCCTCTCTTTCTAGAACTTTCCAGGAGAGAAACTAAGAGCTCTGATTGAGCTGCTCGCCCAAAGCCGGTACCGATTTACTAGTCATACAAGGGAGCCATCTTGGAAGCAAATCCTCCAGCCCTCAGTTAATCACCAGCAACCACCAACTACCTCCAGCTAATACTGCATGGAGCAGAGACAAGCCTTACCCCACTGAGCCCTGCCCAAATTAAAGATTTATGAGGAAAAAAAATTACTGCTGTTTTAAACCCATTTTAACTAAAACATGACTTTGATCCTAAAGCATGAGATCCTCTGTACCCATCTATCATTGAACTATGCTATATTGTGTTACAAGTTATTTTTTAATGTGTTTGGATATTATCCTCTTGGAGACAGGTATTTTGTACTACATTTGTTGAGTTCTCGCACAGTGACTTTTTAGGCAGTAGATACTCTATAAATATTTCCTGGTTAATTAAATCCAAGACTATGTGTTCTATGAGATAAAATTGCTTCTTATTGTGCCAGCTCTGCAAACATGAGAGAGGGTGCAGAGAAGACATCCTGAAACCCACCCAGACTCTGGGTAGATAACTGACATTTAAGATACTAAAATATGTGTATCATAGAAAATGCATATAACCACCCATTCTTCAATCTTCTAAAGTGCTTATTTAATGCTCTTTTGGAATTTGGTATCCATATCTTGGGATTTCTTTAAAAAGTCAACCTACATTAGAGCCTTATCACTCAACCTATTTTTTTTATTAATGAGTTACAACAGAAATGACGTTTGCAGTTAATGAGCTACACATAATCTATCTGTGAATAAAAGCCACCACTAATGGGCAAATTAATTAGACTTCAGGTTTCTTCTCTTTGTTTTTACACTACTTTGTTTACCCTAATACATTTCATCGAAATATCATTAGACATAACTTCTGGAATGGCAGTATGAGGAGCTCTGAAGTCTCAGTTCCTAACAAAACAACCTGAACTAGTAAAAACCAAAACACCAACAACTATTTAAAATCTCTATGCAGTGCCTAAGAGAGTACAATAAATGAAGAAGCATTTATTCAACAAAATGTAATAAACTGTGGTAAGAACAAGTGAGAGCCTATGTCACTTGAGTCATGATCTACTCCATCCCTTACCCTTCCCCCCAACTCAGCATGCTTGAGGTTCTGTTCCAGAGAGGGGTCCCTCTCCCCCAAGCTACCAGTCAAGTGCTATTTCTCCCTGGGATGGACATATGCCAACATTTCTCATCCTCTCCAGCTGCCTGTTGTGAAACTAATTTCTAAACAAGGGTGACCAAGAGGTCAGGGGATCCCTTCCTCCCTCTAGCCCCACTGTTAGTCCCACTGGTTCTACTCCAAGCAAAGGTAGCTGAAAATACTAGATCCAATTATCATCACCACAGTTTGCTCATACAGAGGATATTCCACACTGGGAGAGGCAAGTTAGGAAGACCAGAGGCTACTGCTCCTGCCCAGTGCCCTGCTCATTAGAGGAAAAATGGTGCTCCAAGAGAAGTGGGTCATTGTCTCTGCTCCCACACCCAAAGCAGTTTAACTCTGAGATTTTTTTGCATAGACAGAGGCAAAAAGAAGAAAAGATGTAGAAGCTCTTACCAGACCAACTACATGCATTTGGAATACAATGTAAGTTTAATCCTAAGAGATTCTCAAAGAACAATGATGATTTGGGGGTAGACAATTAAGAGGAGGCTGATATCTCTATGAAAGCAACAAGGAAAAACTTTAAGCCAACTAGATTACCAGAGAAAATCAGGTAAAGAGATAACTGCTAAGATGAGCCCTTCTGGAGTCAGAAAAAACCTCCAAGACTAGCTCTGTAAAAGGTCCCAAATTAGTTGGATCAGACTGTGGAGCAATGTATGTATAAGGACATTATCAAAAACCATAGAGTAATCAGCCAGCAGTAAGGGGAGCCTAATTAAGCTGGACGTGATACCAACAGACAAAACGGACTTAGCAACGAGATCAGGAAAATAGCCAAAGAGAACCCTGCTAAAACTGGTTATCCAAAGGTGACTGTGCCCACGCCCAAGGCTGCAAGTTCTCAAGAATGACATCACAGGCCTCATGCCACATGGGAAATTTCACTGAAGTTCTCCAGCCAAGTTACTAAACAAATAAGCAAATAACAACAACAAATCTGAGAGATGAGAGATGAGAAATCAGTATCCATAGTTGCTACAATATATTACCACAAATGTTCAGTTTTCAGTAACAACAAAAAATTATGAGACATGCACAGATGCAGGCCAGTGTGACCAATACAGGGGGTAAGGGCAAACAGGCAACAAGGACCGCCTCTAAGAGGGCCCAGATAACAGACCTAAAACAAGTTTATAGCAGCCACTATACTATGCTCAAAGAACTAATGGAAACCATGCTTTCAAAAATAAGTATAATCATAATGCCTCATCAAATTAGGAATAATAATATATAAATTATAAAAATAAACCAAATGGAAATTTCCAAGTTAAAAATCAACTAAAATGAAAAATTTACTAAAAAGACTCAAAAGCAGATTTGAACTGGTAGAAGACAGAATCAAAGATCTTGAAGATGGATTGTATAACGTGTATCAACCTAAGTAACAGTGATACTGAGTAATGCCTTAGAGAAATGTAGGACATCATTAAGAGCAGCAATATACTCATAATGAGACTAGGAGAATGACAGGAGGGGGAGAAGGGAGTAAAAAATATGTGTTTAATAAAATAATGGCTAAATACTCCCAAATTTTATTTTTTTTAAGTAATCTAGACATCCAAGAAACTCAACATCTTTCAAGAAGGATAAATGCAGAAAGATATACAAAAATATAGCTAAAATGTTAAAAGACAAAGAGAAAAATCTTGAAAGCAGTGAGAAAAAGAACTCATCAAGTACAAGAGAACCCAGAAGATTAACAGCTGACTTCCCATCAGAAACAAGGAGACTGGAAGGCAGTGGCATGATACATTTAAAGTGCTGAAATTTCAAATATAGGTCTCCCAAGAAACTTATATCCAGAAAAACAATGTTTCAAAAACGAAAGCAAAATCAAGACCTTCCCAGATAAATAAAACTGAGAGAATTTGTTGCTCTCACAATATCTTATAAGAAATACTAAGGGAAGTTCAGGCTGAAAGCAAGTGACCACAGACAGTAATATAAATCTATGTGAAAAAGAAAAGAGCACTGATAGAGATAATAACATAATTGTAAAACACAATATAAATGCATGTTTCTTCTCTCTCTTAGCTTATTTAAAAAGCAGCTCTGTAGGAGCACCTGGGTGGCTCAGTCGGTTAAGCATCTGACTTCAGCTCAGGTCATGATCTTATGGTTCGTGAGTTCGAGCCCCGCTTCGGGCTCTGTGCTGACAGCTCAGAGCCTGGAGCCTAGAGCCTGCCTCGGATTCGGGGTCTCCTTCTCTGTCTGCCCCTCCCCCACTTGTGCTCTGTCTCTATCAAAAATAAATAAATATTTAAAAAACTTTAAAAATATAAAATGCAGCTGTGTCAAGGTGCCTGGCTGGCTTAGTTGGTAGAGCATGTGACTCCTGATCCGGGGGTTGTAAGTTCAAGCCCCATGTTAGGTGTGGAGCTTACTTAAAACTAAAATCTTAATCAAAATAAAATAGAAAAAGCAGCTGTGTCAAACAATATGCATGTAATTGTATTTGGTGGTCTATAATGTAGAAACGCAGTCTATTTGCTAATGGCAAAAAGGAGGTGGGAGCAAAGCTATAATGTAGTAAGGTAACGACACCATATGCTAACTGAAAGCAAGAGCAACAAATGAAGAGAACAGGAAATGACAAATCAAATAGTCGATAAAACAAACTCTACAAATATGTACTCGCTCTCCTTTCCTCTCTCAGTTTCTTAGAAAGACATCAATTATGTAAAGTAAGAATTACAACATGTATTTTGGAAGTGGTTACCTAGATATGGTATGCATAATGCATAACAAGAGCAGCACAAAAGAAGGGGCCGAAACAACAGAGCTATATAGGAGCATCTTGTTTGTATTTCACTGGAATTCAGTAGAAATCTGATCTAGAGTCTGCAAATTAAGATACAGATGGTAAGTCCTAGAGCAGCCAGTAAGAAAATAACTCAAAAATATGTATAGTGTAATGTCACCCTTGAAAAAAAATCATGAATGTGAAAGAAAGAAGTAAAAGAACAGAGGAACAAAATGTTGTGGCTTGATTTACATCCCCCTAAAAGTCATACGGTGAAGTCCTAATCCCCGATACCTCAGAATGTTACTTTATTTGGAGGTAGGGCCATTATAGAGGGAGTACAGCTAAAATGAGGTCATTAGGATGGGCCCTAATCCAATACAACTAGTGTCCTTATAAGAAGGGAAAATTTGGACACACATACACAGAAGGAAGATGATGTGAGTAGATACAGGGCAAAGACAGCTAAGTTAAAGCCAAGGAGAGAGGGCTGGAATGGACCCTTCCCCCTCACAGCTCTCAGAAAGAACCAACCCTGTTGATAACTTGATCTCAGAACTTCAGGCCTCCATGTGTGAGACAACAAATTTTTGTTGTCTAAGCCCTCCAGTTTGTGGTACTTTGTTATGACTGCCTTAGAAAAATAATGTCTACATAGAAAACAAAAAGTAAAATGGCAGATGTAAATCTAACTCTATCAATAGTGACATTAAGTATGAATGGATTAAACATTCCAGTCAGAAAGCAGAGACTGTCAAACTGAATAAAAAGACAAGACCCAATTATATGCTATCTATAGAAGATACCTTTAGATTCAAAGATAAAAATAAATTATAAGTAAAAGGATGGGAAAAAAAGATGTATCTTACCAACAGTAACCATAAGAAAGCTGTTGTGGCTATAGTATTATCAGTCAACAGAGGCTTTGAAACAGAAAGTGTTAATAAAGATAAAGAGAGACATTTAATTATTACAAAAGAGTCAACCCACCAAGAAAGATATAGCAATTACAAACACATATACACCTAAAAACAAAGCCTAAACCACATGAAGCAAAAACTAACCGAAATGAAGGGAGACACTGAAAATCAACAATGGTTGGAGGCCTTAATACTCCAGTTTCAATAATGAATAAACCAAATAGGCAGAAGATGAACAAAAAGAAGAGTTGAACAACACTGCAAACCAGTTAGACCTAAGAGAGACTCTCTCTACCAACAACATCTTATGTGTTTGTTTTGCAGGTGCACAAGACAATACCCACAAATACATTCAATGATAAAACAAGCCTTGATAAATTTAAGAGGACTGAAATTACAGAAATGATCATCTCCACAATGGAATCAACTTTAAAGTCAATAACAGAAAGAAATTCGGGGAATTCAGAAATGAGTTGATATTTAAAAACACTTCTTAGGGGCGCCTGGGTGGCGCAGTCGGTTAAGCGTCCGACTTCAGCCAGGTCACGATCTCGCGGTCCGTGAGTTCGAGCCCCGCGTCGGGCTCTGGGCTGATGGCTCAGAGGCTGGAGCCTGTTTCCGATTCTGTGTCTCCCTCTCTCTCTGCCCCTCCCCCGTTCATGCTCTGTCTCTCTCTGTCCCAAAAATAAATAAAAACGTTGAAAAAAAAAATTTAAAAAAAAAAAAAATAAAAACACTTCTTAAATATCCAATAGGTCAAAGAAGAAACCACAAAGGAAATCAAACAATACTTTGATGGATAAAAATTAAAATACAATATAGGAAAACATATGGGACAGTTAAAATAGTAGAGAGAGGGAAATTTATAGCCTATGTTAGAAATGCCTCTACACAATAACCTAACATTCGACTTTAAGACACTAGACAAAGAAGACACACAAACTTTAAAACAAACAAACATAGACATATAATAAAGATTACAGTACAATCAATAAAATGGAAAATAGAAAAACATAACTTCACTAAGAATTCTATCAAACATTTAAAAAGTATCAGTATCAATACTTCACAAATTCTTCTAAAATAGAAGAGGAAGGAACATTTCTAAACTCACTTTATGAGGTCAGTATTACCTTGATACCAAAACCCGACAAGTATCACAAGTAAACTATAGATCAGCATCTCTTATGAATAGACACGAAAATCGCTAAGATATTAGCAAACCAAATCAAGCAACATGTTAAAAAAGTTATGTCATGATCAAGATATAAAAAGGATTATACATCATGAGCAAGTAGAATTTATCCCCAAGAGATATAAAACTGGTTCAACATCCAAAAATGATTTACATATTAATAAAAATAAATGACAAAACACATCATAATCTCAATAGCTGCTGAAAAAGGCAAAAATGAAAAAATCAAACATCCCTTTGTGATAAAAAAACAAAAAAAAACAAAAAAACCACCTAACTAACTTGGACTAGAAAGGAACATCCTCAATCTAAAAAAGAACACCTATGAAAACACCAAAGCTAAAGGGAACTGACAGGAAAATTCTGCCATCTGTTAAGAGGTCTATTCCAGTTATGCATTATTTAACTGGGGAAATCACCACCCACTGGACCCACTGCAAGATGGGCCTGACCTAAAACTCCATTGACCTAACTTCCATAAGCTCTTCCTGCAATTGATGGGGCACAGTCACAGATGTTGGGTGTCTTGTACTTAGTTCAAAGCCACTGTCCAGTAGTCCCCAAAGGGTCTGATTACTTCTTTCCCCCAAGTATACAGCTACTCTATTAAAAAGGCTATAGGTCCCTCTAGGGAGACTGGAAGAAAGATTAACAATATAACCTTTTGGTAGTCCTAAATTCTTTCTTCAAGGGGGCATGCCCCCCCCCCACTTGTTTAATTGGTTCTGGGTCTGTAAGTTGGCTCCAGTCTGGGAATTGATTGAGGGGCCATGACTCTGCCTTTAGGATTCAGGTTGAACTTTCTGGTTCATTCAGCTCAAAATTTTTCTGCTTCTACCAATAAAGAATTTAGTAGGCTTCCTACTTATTTTACTTCTAGCTCACTCTAATTAATCATCCAGAGCCATAGTCCTATACGAGTCAGACTACTTATTGCTGCTTTGACTCTCCTGTCCATTGCAGTAGCCATCTCGCTTGGCCTTTGGTGGTGAGGGTTTCCAACTACTCTCACTCTCACTGCATATCAGTTTTCCATTTCAGTGACTTCAGTTTCTATGGGGGATGTCTGGCCTACAGAGAAGAGTCATAGCACAGTTCCCCTCACACATCGATTCCTCAGAGCACTGGTGCAAGGTGTACATTTTGGCCCCTTCCAGTGTAGGTGAGTAGGTCTTAAATGACAAATACACTCTAACATTCCAGTCTCTCCCAGTCTTCGAATCCCTTGCCCTACATTAAACCAAGGAATGTCTAACATTTCCAATTCACTCATGGTGAGCCATATTTTGGTCCATGTTTCATCATGGAAACATGAAAAGAAAAAATCTGAACGCATCCCTCCTAATATCAG